GTTTTTAAATTTGTCTCCATCTTGTTCCCACGAGTAGTAGGCAATCGCGGTCCACTCAGGCAGAGGCCATGTGCCTGAGCAAGCCTAGGGTTGTGAAGGCGGGGGTCGGCCGGTCCCCGCCTCCAGAGGCCGTGTTGCGACAGCCCTACCGGCTGCCACTCATCCCCTGACCCACGGCTAGTTTGGGATTAGCGATTTTTTATCGTGGTTTTCTCCACCCAGGACCGCCTAACGAAAGAAAGCCCCCCCGTCTCCGCTCACCGCAGAGGTACGGGTCGGCCGGTGGTTGCCCTGAAAAGGACGCCCGCCGCTCGTGGCACCACGACACGACAGGCCCACCGCCCTCGTTGGCACGACCGCTGCCCGGGTTACCCCCGGGACGCCCGCCCAACTCGAACCGCGCCGCCGCTACCCGACATAAGGTCAGGACGCCGGCCCGGAACCTATCCTCTCAAGACTCCCTTGACAGGGAAACTCCCCGGAACGCGACCAAAACTCGGTCTTACCGCCCCCCTATGCATCACACGACGGCCCTGAAAAGGGCCAACGACGACCCACCCGAAGGGGTCGAACCCTCCTCCTCCCTGCCCGTCAGCCGCTACCCAGAATAAGTCCAGGACGCCTGACGGGCTCCTTCACATGTTCTGACATCAGCCGTGGCGGCTCAAAGATGCTTTGAGCGGCCACGTTGCCCGGGGTGCACCACGAGGAGGTTGTCAGACACCGCACCCCAACCTAACCTAACCTAACCTAACCTAACCTAACCTAACCAACCGTCTTGCTCTGAGCTCCGAACGATTAACAGCTTTTTGTGAACGCTCCGTGAATTTAAATCAAAGTAGTGGGTTTTATTGTGCCAAACCCCATAAATCATATACCATCAGACGCGCAAACGTAAGCCCTACGTGGGGATATAGTTTTTATGGAAATCCGTGATAATTTAGAAGACTTATCATCGAGAAACCGTTCGCCGGTACCGACGCCACCTTGTCCGGACATATCCCGCGTGTGTTGGCTCACATTTATTGTGAATTGCGCGCTTCTATTTAGATAACCGACTGTGTTATTATTCAACGCTCACGGACGTTACAAATTACCACCGAAATCGTGTAAAGAACGCTTAATTGTGTGCGAGTTAGGATCGATAAGTTCGCATATTGCGCATTATTCGTCAGTGAAAGTGGAAGCCAGTGGTACGAACACTGAGGGTGAAAGTGTTAGGATCCCTTTGGATCACACATTCTGTAGTGGTCTCGCTGTGAGAGACACCAGTGACTGTGTTGTGACCCCCGCCGATCTGTTGGTTGGGAGCCGTACGGTGATTCGCAAGTGCGGTTGTCACCACCTTCGCTCGCTGTGACCTTTGAGTTACGCGGGCCACCACCAAGCTTCTGTTGCTTCTGCCCCTGTCGCAGCTGTCGCTGCGACCTTCTGGGGCGACGTGGATTGGCTGCAATTCTCCGCCGAGAGCTGTATCCCGACGTGAACCCACCCAGGTAGGGGTATCTACATCCTCGTATTGTCATCGAGGTCACCCATCACGCTTTGGGGGACCGCTACTTCATTGAAACGAACCTAACACAAACTTGCTGGAGAGTTTCGATCACACTCCGCTCGACGGTCATCGGTCCTGCATTTGTGTGCATGAACGGCGCTACATAGTTAATAATTAATATTAGAATTTTAGTATTTTAGTATTTAAAACGATTAGTGTAATCAGTACATAGTTAAGTTTCATCCTAACACATATATAACGCTGTATGGCTTGTTAACGTACCTATTGTACGTTTTGTTCAGATTGATTATCCCAGCCTGTTAGGCTGTGTGAAGTATTGAACAATCATCACTATATTTGCATTATTTATTAAAACACTATCATCTGTTAATTTTATTGATTCGTGTGTATATCTGTGTGTATATCTTGTTCTATTTATGCCTGTGTACAAAATTTGTGTCTTTTTTTCTCTTTTTTTTTTTTTTTTTGTGTGTAACATGTTAATTAACGTTAATATTCATCCGAACAAAGTCACCATCAAAGCTAACATGTCACAGTCGGATCGCGCAATCTGTTAGGCGTTAGCATTGTCAGGAACCAGATTGCTAGTTTTGTTAGGCGCGCCTTGTTGTTCCGAACATTCTTGGTAGCAGGACCTGTTAACTAACGATAACTATAATTCAGTTACCATCTGTTAGGTTGGTTGGCCTTGATAAAGCGTCGGTTCGATCCGAACACCTGCACTTGTAAGTTACTTGCCTGCTAACACGTGTTAACCTTGTTAGTTTTGCCATATTGATAAGATTGTTCGGGCAGGTTACGATTGTGTCGATCGGTTAGGATCGATCGGTCCTGTTAGGATTGTTTGGAGTGACAGGGTTCTAGGACGGGCCACACTTGTTCCTATCGGTTAAGATTTATCGGACCTACTAGGATTGTCGGATGCGCTTTTGTTCCGAACATTCGTACTTGTATGTCACTCATCTGTTAACACGGGTTAACTTTGTTAGTTTTGTCGGATTGATAATATTGTCCGGACAGGTTATGATTGTTTCGGTCGGCTAGGATCGATCGGTTCTGTTAGGATTGTTTGGATCGATAGGATCGATCGGATCGTTCCGACCGGTTAGGATTGTTCGGACCGTTCCGATCAGTTAGGATTGATCGGTTCCGGTAGGATTGTTTGGATTGATGGGTTCGTTCTGATCGTTCCGATTGGTTATATTCTGACAATTTTTCACGATTAGATTATATATTATTATTATTATTAATATTTCCGATGGATCAGGATAAATCTGACGGGACTTTTATGAGCGATTCCAGCAGCCGCTTTTCTGGAATAAGACCACAGGGTATGGCTGAGGCACGAGGCCCGGTCACAAGAAGCAAAACCAGAAGGGATAATCCCCTTGTTACACGCTCCGACTCCGCTCTGTTAGAAACTCTTACAGATAATGAGGCAGATACCAGCACTGGGACTATGGAGACCGTGTCGTCCGGTAAGGCGCATGACGAGCCTATATCGGATCAATTACAGGACACCAACGTCACTATCGTTACTAGGCAGGAGGGCCCGGGCTCTGTATCGGATCTTGAATCTACCTTGACACCGGGGCGATTTGCTTCAGTTTCGGCTTCCTTTTCGGCTCCCTCGGCCGCTTCTGCTCTTGCGTCTCGTGTTGTGGAGGCCGAGGAAGTAGAAGTGGGGTTTGACCGAGGGCGGGTCGGTGGCGTGGGCGGCGGCCGGGCTCGCGAAAAACGACATCGAAACGACACTTCTTCTCCGTATCCGGCTGTATCACCATCGTCTTTTGTCTCTGGCACTCTGGCGGATAGATTGTCTGGAAGATATTCGCCACAGTCTGACCGGGACGAGGAAGGAGAAGCAGAAGATCACGCGGCGCTGTCGCTCACGGCACACATACTCACGCAGGACCCATCATCGAGCGCATCGGCACTGAAACGAAACATTGTGACATCGGCCAAAACATCATTAGGATCGCACCCATTTCAAATTAAATGGCCAGGGGCCTCGGTCTCGGCCTCGGCATTGAGTACGACTTCGACTTCGGCTTCGGCTCCGGTCTTAACCTCGGCTCTGGCCTCGACCTTGGGAAATGAATCTGATGAAGAGGACCACTCGGATGTGGCGACTGTTTGCGGTTCCCATTCTCCGTCTGCTTTTCATCTATCATGGCGGACACCTACCACCTCACCCTCTCCGATTTACACACGGGTGGAGGAGTTGAACTCGTCCTCTGAATCAACCACAAACAGCGGGAAGCAAGAAGAAAAACGCGCCATCACCTCTTTTGCTTCCCCCCAGAGTACGACAGTTGACACCACTGTTGACTCCTCCCTTAAGACTACTACTACGACGATGACAACAACAACAACGATCACCCCGATTTCGAATGCTGCCGTTGCCCGGGCGTCTAGGGACTCTTCACCTTCACTGTTTACTCGCCAGGAACATCATTCTTTTGCGATTGGAGACTTTATCCCTTTGGAACAACGAATAAGGCGCCGCACCGGTCACATGATAAGGGCTGATACTGACGCGGAGCACACTAACAAGGGGTGTTGGAAACAGAAAAATATAAGAGCAGGTGTTTTTGATCAACATCGCCTCAGCTCTTCAGAGTCTACTATGGAATCGGGCGGAGGGCCTGGAGCACCGATTTCTGTCGATGAGGAGAAGGAACCTCTTTTCACATACCCACCGCATTTCAGACCTGGTTCTGTGGGCTCTATGGAAGCGACCGGAGCAATCAGAAAGGATCGGTCACAGGCGGGGAAAGCGACTGCGATCATGAACAACATCATACTGTTGCCCCCCCCTCCAGCTTTTGCCGACTCGGTTGTTACGCTCACAGAAACTGGAGAATTATCGAACGAATTGAAACAGCAATCTACCTCATTGTCGAGTGATCGGGAAGGGAACTCTTTATCAACGGCATCTGAGGACCGAACAATTAGAGTTCCCACATCAGCGATGGACGATACTGTAAAGAGGACCAACATAATAATCATAGGCCTGTCGGGCATAAGGACTAGAACTTCCAGATTACTGAAGCGGGATCCCCTCTTCAGAACTGGCAGAGGAGGGGGGCAGTCGCGGTCTCTCGATCCTGTGGGAGCAGATAGGGTGTCGACTGCTATTAAAAAAGGCTGCGAGGAGCTCGTTAAACTCGAGAAACACGCCATTCAGCTGCGCACCTGCCTTGTTAAAGCGGGGGGCAAGGACACCCTATCCACTGCAGTGCTCGACCCTCCCCAGCAGGACGTGGGTTTAAAAAGCGGGGCCAGGGGAGCAAACCCAACGAAGAAGAACAATAATAATAAAACGACAGGAGTTGCGGCTGTTACCACCACTGCCACGAGAAATACGGGGACTCCGAGCGGATTATCTCAAATCGAAAGTTCGATTGATTCGAAATATGATCGATCAACAGAACGATCCGAGGGACGGTCCGCCGCCCTCGACGAAATACAGCGTCAGAATATGGAATTAAAACAACATTTAATTGATCTGAGCGCTCAGATAAGGGACATTCGTGTGGAAACTGGACTTCGCCCCAGACCGTTCCCACTCCTGACGGAACCATTCGCGGGAGGACGAGGAGGTGAACGGCGCACGCAGGGGCAACAACAACCGCAGCAATTACAACAATTCACTAAATCGAGAGGTCAACGGCGTAGGTCTAAAAAACGAACAAGACGCAAACAACCGCAGGGGAATGCGCGGTCCGAAAATCGGCCTCCGCCGCCGCCGCCGTCGTCAAATCAGCTGCCGCCTCCCTCTCGGCCACGATCTGCAGCATACAATCGAATAACAGAGAGTACGTCTTGCGTACAGCGACAGCTGTCGCGGCCGCCGCCGCTGCAATTGTCCCAGGTAACCGGGCAAGAACCCAGAACACAACCATCACGGAGCGCGCAAGGAGCATTTAAAAAACCACAACAACGACAACAAGCGCCGTTTATTCGGCCGCAATCGCGACCGCCGCTTCGGCCTTTACAGCCGCTGGCGCCGCCACGGTCATCGGAGCTTCGATCGGGAACGAGACAGGACGATCGTCCTTTTACAACGACGCAGCCTTTCCTTTTACCTCGCCTGCCGCCCCGTGTTTCGTCAACAAACAATGCGTCCTACCCTCAGTTGATGGGCCAGCAACAGGGAAGGAACATAACGAACGCGACGCCTGGCAGTTATGCTAGCGCGGTTAGAGGTCCAGTGCAGCTCGACCGACAGCTTCCGCCGATTGATAGGAGTACCCTCCCCACTATGACACGATATACTGGGGAGCGACTTAAGGCGATGAGCGACGACTCTGCGCGAGTTGGCACTAATGCGCCGAGAAGGATCGGTGATGACCGATTTTATGGCGATCACGAGAACGTCCGAAGTATGGAATCAGAGGCATATAGACATAGGAAAACCTTTGGCACATCTTCCGTTGGCAGAGAAGTTGCCATCGTGGTCGGGAGCGACAAATTGGAATCTCGGCAAACCCTGATGGAGAAGGTGAAGTACTCGTTGAAGGAGTGCGGTATTAGGCCCTCTTTTCTGGATGTGCGCTCCCTTTCGGGAGGTAAAACTAAATTTTCTTTTGCCGATAAACAGACGGCGTCTAGATTTATGGATGCTATAAATTACTATAGAGTCGACACACATCTTCGCGCGGAATGGCAAAAGTCGATCAGACCTTCGATCATTGTAAAGGGAGTTCCTGGCACATGTCAGCCTAGGGACCTTTCATCTGTAATTGCTGCGCACAATGAGTGGCTTGAGGTTCAACGCGAGGATGACCTTATATTACAATATACGATCGCCAACCGCAATCCAGGCAGATACAATGCCGTTATGTCTATTGCTCCTCGGTTGTGGGAGGCACTTATGTGCGGTGGTCATGTCAAAATCGGCCAATATCAAGTTTACGTCGACTCCCACACCAATTTCAAACAGTGCATTAGATGCCACCAGTTTGGTCACACGGCAAGGCGCTGTGATGCCCCTCCGAAGTGCGCACATTGCGGTGGAACAGATCACGATTTAGAGAACGTTTGTCCCCGCATTAACAGCCCTCCCACGTGCAGCAATTGCAGAACCGCCGCAGTTCTCACCAACTCGAACAGGAACTCACATGACCGCACCCACATAGAAAACATTAATTACCACCATAAATACAACAGTGACACCTGTCCTCGTAGGAGGTCCATGATGCAGAGGATTCAAGAAAAAACTGATTATGGCCAGTAATCCAAGAAACATCGATTCCTTCGTGATTCCCAAACATCTTTTGGCGCTGCAAATTAATATGGATAGGGCTCAGTGTGCGTTCCATGAGGTAACACATCTCCTCGCTGGAAGAGTATGGAACGTGGCTTTCGTCACTGAGCCCTACCTTGGCAACGGATGTAGCGCCAAGGGTATTGGGGGCACTGTTGTATTTCAGACCGCCGCGGGGGGAGGACCTGTCAGGGCGGCCTTGTATATGGGCGATCTTCTGGCTCATAAACTAAGAGCGGTCCTGGTAACTCAACTTTCCTCCCCTGATCTGGCAGTGGTTAGGATGGATATTGCGGGTAAAGTATGGTATTTGGCGTCCATCTACCTGCCTCCGCGAGGGGACTTTGCTGATACATTAGAGAAGCTAGAACGTCTCCTAGGGACCAACTTGGACACCGCTCGGGAGAGGAACAACATAATCATTGCTGGAGACTTCAACGGATGGCACCCCACTTGGAATACGACCGGTGCCATCAATCCAAGAGGTCGCATGGTGGAAGAGCTGCTCGCCCAGTATGGGCTGGTATGCCACAACGATGGAAGCATTACCTTTCGTACCATCACTCACGGAGCGGAGAGACAAAGCTCCATCGACCTCACCATCTCATCTGGTGGGGCTTCCCGCTTCGTGAGTGAGTGGCATACCGATGAGGACAGCATTTTATCTACACAGCACGTACCAATCAAATTTAAGCTCAGAGTGAGCAACACTGGCGCCAGAGAACACTTCCCCACAGTGCAACCCGGAGCAGGCCGGTCCACTTATAGATACAGGATTGATGATACGGCCAATTGGAACCGGTTCAAAACGCAACTAATTAGGAATTGCGCCGACCTCCTTCCTGATACTGCTCCTTCGGATATCAATGAGCTTGAAGGAACAGAACTCGACGAATTCGCCCGGAAGCTCACCACCGTTATTAATCTGGCTGCCGATTCCTCGTTTCCGACTCGCGGTAGAGACAGCGGTTCTGCTGCGACGTCCGTCGGGAGAAGAAACACCTCCTTTTGGAACGCTAAACTGGAAGCGCTCAAGAGGGATTTGATTGCGAGGAGGCGAGAGGTTCGACATCTTACGCGCCATGGAGGGGCGAGTGCTAGCGACATCTCCTCGGCCTGGGCCGACCTGGGGGATCGCACTCAACAGTACCGCGATGCCATTAGAACCGAGGCCGCTGCGAGTTTTCGCCGCTTTTGTGACAGTATGAGCCTCGAAGAAATATGGACGGTTACCAACCCGGTATTGCGGGCCACGGGCAGGCCAGCCCCCCCACCGTCCACGGTTAGGAGAGCGACTGCCCCGACCTCGGACACCTTGGACGTTGCTGCTGCTTCCGCCGCCGCCGCCTCCGCTGCCGCCGTGGCCGCCGCCGCGGTTGCCACTGCGGGAGTGGTGGCTGCCGGGGCCGCGGCGGTCGGCGGGACACGCCGAGATAGGCGTCCTTTACTTCCCCCTCTGCGCGCCAGAATTAATCAGCACGTCAGCAGCGGTCACCACAACGGAGATGTATTAGATAACATTGCTGCGAGCGGGCTGGATGCGGGCGTTGCATGCAATGCTTTGGAATCGGCCCGCGTCTTGTTGGAACATCATTACCCCGAGGACGACCCCGCTCAAGACACTAATGAACAACGAGCGCTGAGAACTGCCTGTGAGCTTATTCCTGACACGGAGAATGATTGCCCGTTCTCATATGATGAGATTCTGGAGGCGATAGGCCAATTTTCCCCCAAGAGGGCGCCCGGGTTGGACGGTTTAACGGCGGACATATGTGCGGTCGCCTTTCGCACCCTCCCGGACGTGTTTACTAACTTTTATAATCGCTGCCTCGAGATCGGGCACTATCCACGTTGTTGGAAACTAGCAGTGGTCAAATTGATTCCCAAAGCTGCCGAGGACGAATCGATTGAGTCACCCAAAAGCAAACGACCAATCGGTTTGATTCCGGTCTTCGGCAAGCTATTGGAGAAGCTTTTTATTAATCGAGTAAATCACCACTTGGAAACAAACTCAGCCTCTGCTCCTAATCAATATGGCTTCAAGAGGAATACCTCAACCCTCCACGCGTTGAAGGCGGCCGTCGACACGATTGAAGAAGCAAAGCGACGCGGTAGACCTTGCGTCGCAGTTTCACTCGACATTAGAGCCGCCTTCAACTCTGCGTGGTGGCCTGCCATGTTGAGAAATCTGTCGGACGCTCGATGCCCGGCGAACTTGTATCGTCTTATCCGCAGCTACCTTTCAGACAGGCGGGTGCTACTTAACTATGCTGGAGCGACCGCGGAGAAAATAATGAGTAGGGGCTGTGTACAAGGGTCGGCTTGTGGCCCCTCTATGTGGAACATCGTCATCGATCCCCTGCTGAAAATGGACTTGCCGGGCGACGCTCGCTTGCAGGCGTATGCGGATGACCTCCTGCTAGTCGTCTCGGCCCCGGACACTGCCCGACTCGAGGCCGACGCGAACGCCTGCCTGAGAGTGATCGAGCGTTGGGGGACCGAGAACAAGCTTATCTTCGGCGCTGATAAGACAAATGCTCTTGCGTTTTCCCCGAGGGCGGCGCGCGCCGAGATTTACATGAGCGGCAGACGTGTGACTTTCTCGCACCATATGAGGATATTGGGGGTCATCATTGACAACAAACTGAAATTCGGTGAGCACGTCAGCCATGTCATAAAAAAGGCTCAACGGCTTTATCAGCGCCTGAGCCTTTTTGCGCGCCCCTCTTGGGGTCTCGATGTTGATATTGTGGAGACAATCTATAGACACGCGATTGTGCCCACGATCACCTACGCGGCAGGAATTTGGGGGAAGGCAGCTCTGGTAGCGACTCACAAGAACAGGCTGCTCGCTGCTCAGCGTGGTTTTGCTATTCGCGCTATTAGGGGCTATCGAACCGTTTCCGCAGTGGCTGCTAGCGCACTAGCGGGTTTCGTCCCCCTGGACATCGAGGTCATCAGGGTCGCTGAGGTTGACGCGGCGAGGATTTCCTTATGCTCATCCAGCCTGGTGTTGGATCGGATAGACAACTTTGATGAGGGCGACCCTTCAGCTGGCGAAGAACCTGGTGGAATTGGCGAGCGGGTAAGAAGGAGGAACGCGAACAGGAATGCGCGCCGTGACGGGATCATGCGCGAAACGCTTGGTGAAGAAGAACGAGTCGGCGCGGGTGCTGAAGAAGCTCATGCCCGCGCCGCCTTTCCCTCCTCCCCTCTTGCCAGACCAGATGCTGGCGTCGCCGTAGCTGCCACTGCCATCATTGAGGGTAGAATCCCGGTCAGCAGACTCGCTCATCCCGCACATAGGATATCGCCTGACTTCAAAATTATACCGAACGAGAGCAGATTACGACGGATTATCCCGAGGGACGCAGTAGTTATTTATACGGATGGAAGCAAGACGCTCATACGTGAGGGAGACTGGCGCGGCGAGACTGGTGCCGCGATCGTTGTAGAGGAAGCGAGATGGGACCGTGAACTCGCCTCCCCCTCGTTGCGCACACACTTACTATCCTTGGCTTCTACCTCGACACCGGCATTTTCCTCCGGACTAGCGCCCGCATCATCACTTCCGTCCTCACCGTCGACGCGTCATTCGGTTTCGACAGGGTTGTTACAGTCATCACATCCGACGCCGCAGGCAACGACCCGGCTTCCGGCTCATGACCTGCCTTCTGGTCTCTGTGGGACGCGGGAGTACCGACTGGGTCAGCTTTGTTCCAACTTCCAGGCTGAAGCACTCGCGCTAGAAAAGGCGTGCGATCTGGCAATGGCGGCGACAGAGCTGGGCCGTTCCGCGTGGATTTGCTCTGATTCACTTTCTACGTTAATGGCCATACAAAACAGGAGCTCCACGCACCCCATTATTCATAAGATACATTGCGGACTGATGCGCGCCCCCGCTCATGGACCTTCGATTAATCTGGCATGGGTGGCTGCTCACAAAGGAATTAACGGTAATGAGCTTGCGGACGCTGCCGCGAAAAGGGCGGCTAAGAATCACCTTCTTCCCGTGGAATATGAAGCAGCTCCCATGTCGGCCGTTAAGAATAGATCCAAGAAATGGGCCATGAGGGAGTGGCGTACCAGGTACGAATCCGCCGCAACGGGTGCGCGTACGAGGGAACTCTTTCCCACTCTCGGCGAGCTACTGGCCTTTAGAAAAATCCATAGAAACGACTTTCACACCACGCAATTTCTCTCCGGACACGGAGCACACCTGGCTTATCTTGCACGATTCGGCATCGCTGAGACTGACAGGTGCCCCTGCGGGGCGGGTAGAGCACAGACTCCCGATCACCTTTTTAGAGAGTGCGCCCGCTTCCAAGAGTTTAGGAGGGAGTATGTACTGGAGTGTGAGTTCTTGGGGGCTGATGACCCCTTTGAACCCAAAACCTTTGTGGCGCACCGTAAAGGCGAGGTCTTAGCCGAAAAACTGACAACCTTCATTAGGAAGGTGTATACCGAACTTAGAGCCTTCAACGAGCGTGGCGGTAGTTCTGAGACATCCTTATCTGCCGCTACTTCGCCGACCTCAGCCTCTACTTTATTTGCGTCGCCGTCTCCGTCCTTACTGACGTCGCCCTCTCTTCGTTTTCTTGAAGGAAGTATTCACTTAGCCGGAGGCGAGGAGCCGCCCCGTGTACGTCGTAGCGAACGACTCCGGGAACGCGCCTTGTCGAACTTATCTAGCCGCGACCGGGGTCACCACTCTGAGCTTGACGTCGACTCGGCAATCGGAAGGGATCACCAATCGGATCGACCATCACGACGATCACGATGGCGACGAATACGCTATTACTCGGATTCGGATTTATCGGAAGTGCGGTCTGCTTCGGATTTTACGTTGACTCAATCCAGACCGTCGACTGCTATTACGGCGTCGCCCGGCTTCGGTGCGCTGTCGCCTTCGCCGCCGCCGTCGTCGTCGTCGCATTCGGTTCGACCTCCGGCCCTCTGTCTTCGATATCCTAGAGCTATCGATCTTGACCGTCTGACGCTACTGAATCGGTCGAATTCATTATCGCGAACGTCATCGTCCACATCCACATCAACGTCGCGGCCGACGATGCGGCGGTCCGCGGCGCGCGCGAGGTCTCTGTCGCAACGATCGACGTCAATGTCGTCGTTGACTAGCTTATTATCATCATACACGCCGTCGACTCGTGAGTCGTCATCGTCTTGATTCGATTTTGGAGATCAGCTAATTACTTCTATTGGACTAACTGAGCTTGGTTAATTGCATTTTAATATTATTGTATTATTGTATAATAATGTTACATAGGTATAAGCGTTTACAGATGTGCGACAATTGTGCACGTGTTGGTTGACCATTCGGATGTTTAGTATTATGAATAGGTAATCTACTGTTTGATTTTAATTTTAAAGACCAATCAACATTTAATTAGGCATATATTGATGTTAAATATACACATTATAATTTAAGAGACTGTTCTGTCTTGAGCATTCGCACACACGTTAGTTCAATTCAATTCAATTTAATTTCAGCTGTTGCTGGAAAAAGTCAGAAAATAGCTAATTAAAATTTCTTAGAGTTAATGCAAATATTAGTGAGTTGTTACACTTGTTTGACAACTCTGTTGATCACGTTATATTTTTGACCTTTATAATACAGTCAAGTTGTTTAAGAACAGAGTTAATTTTGTAAGCATTCAGTTTTAAATTCAAATTAGGTGTGAATTATAGAGGTTAAATCACTGAAATTACAACTTAGTAATGATGTTAATAAATAAATATTGTTTTTTTGTTATATTATTGTCATAGACATATGGTCCTTGGACCCTTTTCTTTATATGACTCACAGTTAATTTCATTGTATAGTTAGTTATAATCAAATATTTATTTTTAATTTGTCGTGTTAGGGTAAGAATTGTATATTATATTAGTTATTCATATGTTTTAATTAGGGAACTATTAAAACAAGTTAATCTAGAGTGTAACATATGATTCAACAATGATTTAGAAATTCATGACTAGATGTATATTATCTAAGTAAAATTTAGTTGCTGTTTAATTATTCATATTTGAGATGTGACATACAATTATATTGTATAACTTAGTTATAAATACGTTATAATCACACGCAATGTTTAACTGTTATTTTATGTTATAATTAAGCACATATTGATTGTGCATAGTTTTAAAATTTTAATCAGGGAATTATGAAAACAAGTTGATCTAAAACCATAATTCAATGTATCAATAACGAATTGGAACTTATGATTAGAGACATTTTATTTTATCAATTTGTAGTTAAGTAAAATTTATTTGCTGTTGTTTAGTTATTTACATTGTTTTTAAAATTTTAATCAGTGAATTATGATGACAAAATTGTTTTAGAATTATATTTAATGTATGTTACGGTTATTTTAGACATTTTTGGTTGTAAGGTGGAATACATATAAAAAAAAAAAAAAAAAAAAAAAAAAAAAAAAAAAAAAAAAAAAAAAAAAAAAAAAAAAAAAAAAAAAAAAAAAAAAAAAAAAAACCACTTCTATTAATTTTATGAATCATGATCAGTATAATAACCACCTAGATTAAAGTAGATACTAAAGGCAATTATCTGTATGAAACTTATTATCATTATATCAACCATTTAAGTCAAATTAGAGTTTGATAACAATTGCACATGTAATTTATATTAAGTTAGTATATCAAACAAATATTTCTTTTATTCAACCATCTTAATTGGGATCTTTTAACTTAAAATCAGTAAGCCCCTACGGGGGTCCCCCTCGGACTTCAAACAACATCTTGTCGGAGCCGAGGTTTTTACATTATATAATTACGGTAGTTCGGTTCCGCGAAGGCGAAATGCCTACACTGACTATCACTGACCTTCATCGCGTGTTAATATCAAGACGGCTCGGCTGGCTCCGCTTCTCACATCGACACATTTTGGTTTGGTCGGTGTGGGAAGGGGAGTTTGCCTATCACCGTCCGCGCACACCTTACCCGGGGCGACCATCGACCCCCCGCCTGGGGAAGTTGAAACTTTTTGGATCAATTAAGTTAATTACTTTCTTGATAATTATATTACCACTCATTTTTGCCATCTTAATTCTCAGGTCAAATGGACCATGTCATTGGTAGTTCTGAGTATTCATTTGTATCCAATTTGGGTTGCCCCGGTACGGCGTGGTATCTTAAAATCTATCGACTTCGCCGTTTGTATTCGGGAGGACTCTGTGATCGCCCCCCCGTTCCGCGGCCGCAGCCATTTCGGTTGCGGGTGCGGAGCGGGGGGGCGGTTTCCGGGATCTCCCGATTAATTTTTATCATTTCATTTCATTTCATTTTATAGTTCACAGGTGTCGGTGCCTTCGGCGCCCGGCGACCCCAACCTCCTCTCTGGGTTGGGGCTGTCGGACGGCGGGGGGACCCCGTTTGCGACACCATATATATTGTTATATTCATACATATTTATTTATCATTATATATTCATTAATTCATCTATATAATTATATATTCTTTCCTATCTCAAGGGGAGGAACTTCCGGGTCCATCACGAAGTTCTCCGGTCTCCTCCCCTTTTCTTCTGCGCCTCCTCTGCCTTACAGGGGTTGGCACGATCCCCCCTCACAAGGGGGATCTAAAGCAAAATTTTCAGTGTACCCTAAATTAAACTCAATTCAGCTCAAGGAAAAAAAAAAAAAAAAAAAAAAAAAAAAAAAAAAAAAAAAAAAAAAACCTAACCTAACCTAACCTAACCTTTTTTTTTTTTTTTTTTTTTTTTTTTTTTTTTTTTTTTTTTTTTTTTTTTTTTTTTTTTTTTTTTTTGATAACGCAGGGGAAATGCACCTTAAGCCTTAAACCAGGGCTCCTCCTCCACCCCCGTCCTGAAAAGGACAGGCCGCCCTGAGAAGGGCAGTAAGTGAAGGCCCTACCTGGTAAAACCCGCTGCGGTTCACCTCACGCGAATGGATGAGTCTGGTATCCAGCAAGGAGGGCCCAGACTCAATCCGCGCTGGGACTCCTCTCCAGGGGGTAGAGAGAAGTCGCCCTCTGCGGGATGGGAGGAGCTTGGGTGAATAACAACTCCTCCGTTGGGACCGAAGTCCTCCTTCTGCGGTCAGGAGGTTTCCCGGGTAGTTCCGAGGAACCCTCCCCTGACAGATGGGGTCGTGCAATGAACAAAGAGTAGCCAGCCCTTTGTTGAGTATAGATGCGCTACTGTGCAATCTAGACTCCCTTTTCCGTCAGCCAAACACTCCGCATACGCCGCTCCTCGGCCTCCCCCTCGGGCTATACCCCTCGGGCAGCCCCGGGCGCCCCTCTGGCACCCCTTTTGAGCGATGTATCGGAGTATTCCCGCCGCTGCCATGGTGTCGGCCGCTGGTCGACGCGGCCCCTCCTCACATCAACTCATTGCGTCAATGCGGTGAGTGCCCCGCCGAGCCGCAGCCGACTCCATCCCTTCGTCGCTGACCGTGGCAGGGCTCTATTGGTCCTACCACAGCCCGCCGCGCCCCCCCCGCCGCCGGGCCCAGCCGTCGAATTCGTCCGAGGACTCACCCGACGACCGACCCGGCGGCGCCGAGGGCGCGGCGCCGGGGCGGCGGCACAGCCGAGGCCCGGGACCCCGCCCACACTAAACGTGTGTGCAGGGGCCCGGGCCCCCGGCCACGCCGCCGCCCCGGTGCGAGATGGGGTCGCCCCCCCTCTCCCCTCTGGAGAGAGGTGCTTCCCAGGCCCGCTTACTTCGCATCCCCTCCCCTCGTCAAGGTTCTCATAGGAGAACGATGTTGAGGGGTCGGCGAGTAGCGAAGCTGCTCCGCGCTACACCTCCCCGGCTAGTGGACACACTAGTGTGTGTCCATTTCGCCCGAGACCGTGTTGCGCGGTCCCGCACGCGGCGCCCAGGAACTGGGGACCGGCCTAATCCTCTTCGTGGGGGGATGGCAGCTCTTGCTGCCCATCCGATGTCCGTGAGGGAGTCCAGCACTGGCGCAAACCGCGCACCTTGGCTCCCTACTGCAACCCGCTGCTCGGTGGCCCTCCTCCCCGCACTGGAAACAGACCTCAGTGCGGTCCACCTTGTCCGGACACTGCGCTCGCACATGGCCGACTCCCATGCACCTAAAACAGCGCACTGGGAGTGGCGGCAGCACTCGGAAGCCCACTTTCCCCCACCCAACAGTAATCCCTCTCGTCGTCAACATCTTGGCCGCCTCAGCCGGGACTTTGAGGTGGGCAATGCCCATACCCCCATAGCCCGTCCGAATCGGTCCGACGCGAACACTCTCCGGGGGGCAACCTCCCTCCTCCGCTACCGCTGCTCTCAGCTCCTCTTCCGTGACGGTATCGTCAGGTGCTGCTGCAAGCTGCAAATACAGGCGATAAGCGGCCTAGCTCGTCCCCTTTCTCCTCCTCAATTCGGCTGTTGCTTTCCGGGGTCAGCTTCCCCTGAGATTGGCTTCTGCACTCCTCCGAGTGTGTGCAGCCTGTTGCCGGTGTTGACGCGCTTGCGCCATCACCGGCAACAGGGAGGGATTCTCCCGGCCATCGGGTACCCTCCGGAGGTAGATTATTTTTGTCCACCAACTTTTCCATAGTTTTGCCTCTTACGGGTGAGGCACCCAAAACTCCCTTTCTCCCTCTTTGGTTTTTTAGTGAGGTTGGCTCCTCTTGGCCCCCGCCCGCAGGCAGCGGCCCTCGGTCCCGCACCACGTACGGGATAACGAGCGTGGCCGGAGGTGGCTCAGTAGAGCCATTTTTATGTCAGTACGTCGTGCAGGCGCGGGTTAGACCGCACACGCCCACCCGACGCACCGACCCTCCGCCCACTACCAACAACGACGCCCCAAGTCGCGGCTCACGAGAGGCCTACCACCCCCCTATGCTCCGCGAGTCACGACGTCCTCGACCACCGCTACCGGGAATACGTCCCGGACGCCGGTCGAGCCTCCGATCCGCGCCGCCGCTACCCGACTTACTGCCAGGACGCCGGCGCGGAACAACCTCATAGCCCAAGTTGGGCTCCCCACTCGTGGTCCTGGGTGGACCTTACCTCCCCCCTACGCGCAAGACGATGGAGGGCACAGAAGCCCCAACCCAACGACCCCCCCTCCCCTGTCCCGAAGGACTCCCCCCCCTCGGCGGCCGCTACTTGGAATATGTCCAAGGCGCCCGCCGAGCCCCCAGTGTCGGACTCTTGGCCATAGGGACCGATGAATCAGCTAACGCTGAATTCATCCTTCCCTATGCCCGGGGTACACCGGCCCGCAACAATGGCGGATCCGCTCCCAATGGGAACTGATCATCCATTGTAACAGGCGCACGAGGAGGTGTTCCGACCCCGCACCCCAAACCCCGCACCCCACCTAAACCTAAACCTAAACCTAAACCTAAACCTAAACCTAAACCTGAATCTAAACGTCAAATTCGCGAAATAATTAAGGCAAGAAGTAGTTGATTCTCCTGCTATTTGTAATGGTTATTTGTAAAAAAAAAAAAAAAAAACAGAGAGTTCAGAGGTAAAGAAGGAAATCATTAAATTGGAAAGCAGCCGAGAAAACGAGTCCTTTCTTGTGGTGGAAAAGTATTTCCAGTCAGTTAAGTAAAGTCACGACAATAGTAAAGGGAGTCTCGACAAGTTTTGTGATGTTAGTCAAGATGATACAGGAATATATATATATATTTTTTTTTTTTTTTTTTTTGTTGTTCAGTAAAGAACACTTTTTCCATAATTAGTTAATTTTTTTTTTTTTTTTATTTTTTTTTTTTTATCTCTATCGCAACGGTAGAATATGGACACATTTTGTAAAATAAAACTTCAATGAAAACGTCTTCTCTTGCGTATGGCACCGTGCAACCCCGCCGCGCCCGGTAGCCCCCCGCCACAGCCCCCACTGCCCCGCCATGACCGAGCGACGCGCGCGACAGTGAGACTCCTACGCATGCGCCGATGTGACGTGACCTCGCGTCCCCGCGCACGCGACGCGCCCGCCGTCGTGAGTTTTACGAGATGTACGAGTTTATCTTCTGAGTGGTGAGAACCTACATAAGCGCAATTCGGAGAAAGTATGCGACCAAGAGACCTCGTATGCGGGCCTTTGGGATCCGTAACCCCGCGGTCCCTAATGCTTCGAACCATTTTAACAGACGAAGTCCCAGAGTCAGTACCCACGATGCGGCATATCTCTTTGGTGTGAGCCAGCCTGCGGTATTGAAGCTGCTAAAAACAGCCGGACTCGATCCGTACCACTTTCAGCCGGTTCAGCAGTTCCATGACCTAGACCCAGTACCACGTCAAGCCTTATGTGAGTGGCTTCTACATCACCTCGATGCAAACATCTTGTAGAGAGGAGGCATTGTTCACAAGTGAGAGACTGTTTCTTATGGGAAGAAGTCAAACGCCGAGATGTAGAGGAGGCACAAAGTCTAGAAGACTTGAAATAAAAAATAATAACGCTTTCAGTGAAGTGAAAAGTGACACTAGTGTTTTAAACAAATTAAATGACAATTTAATGAAATGTGCACGTTTATGTCTGGACAGACGTGGACTTCATTTTGAACAAATATTAAAATACATGGTAAGTAATTAGTTAGGTATTTGTTTTGATTCAACATTATTGTAAATACGTAGTTGATTCTATTTTTATTAAATACGCCTTAACGCAAAGTACCTATGTAACTTCGGCATAAGGTTCATATTATTTTCTAGGTAACGAATTTGTTTCTCTTTTATTTTATTTATTTATTTATTTATTTATTTTTTTGCATTTTGATGGCCTTAACCATAAAAGTATGAAGGGAAAATTAGAATTACTCTTAGAAATCAGCTCAGATCATGGCATAAAATCTAGTTCGAATCTAACAAAATGAGCGTTCAGTCACCCGTGTAGATAGGTACCTACGAGTACATGCCTACGGCGTCGAGCGAGCGCTCAGCTGACGCACGGCACGTGGTGTCCATAAATTAAGTTTTAAAATCTCGATCTTTGATAAGCGATAACTTTATTTTTTAGTATTAGAACATACCAAAAAAAAAAAAAAAAATTAAAATAAAATAAAAATAAAAATAAAAAAAAAAATACGTGTTTATTTAAATTACTTAAAGTTTATTTTCACAAAATCTTCGCAGTGGTTTTAAATTATTCCTGTATATCACCAAACGATATGCAAAAGGATATAGAATCTTCTCTCACAGAGCGTGAATTAGGAGATATAGAACCGCTAGCATCAACGTCAGGGCAAGCTAATATCATCGAATTTATAACTATTGAACGACGATACTGACAGTGTTTGATTATTAATAATGCGCTATTATTTTTAAAGTATGCAGTATTTTGTTCTTATAGTGTAGAAAACTGTTGTGGAAGATATCGAGATCAAAAATTCTATGCCAACCATTATACGAGCTTAGTAGCCTTGGCACAGGGGCACCTCTACCCACATTGGTTCTACTTACTGGAACACTAAAGAAGGACCTTGGAGTCGGGCGACGAGAATTTATACGTGATACACTTATGTTGGTTTGATCCAGCACCTCTTGGTACCTCAACCCACCATTAAAGGCCTTATGTAAAAATGTTAGATTCAACATACAATGATGTTATAGTGAGGAATGAAAGATAACCGACAATCCAGTACAACGCCTAGATCACGGACCTGAGAAACTGTATCTATAACATCACAACCTATTTTTGTAAGCCGAATTGACAGTGTTTATCTTTTTTTTTTTCTTTTTTTGAAAAGGGTATATGTTTACATTTTGTCGCATTTAGAGATAAATGGTTTTTGCCACACCAGATCTGAATTCGGTCCAAGTCAGACTGCAGTAAGTCAGCGTCGTCCGATTTTTCAATAGTCCGGAAAATCTTCATATCATCAACAAACAACGAACACTGGCTATGCAAAACACAGCAAACGATGTCATTGATGAAAAGAAGGAATAATATAGGTCCCAGATGCGAACCCTGCGGTACACCTGAAGATGCCGTGTACACTTGAGACTCATAGCCTCTGATTATAACTGTTTGTTTTCGATGTTCGAGATAAGATCTAAACCAATTCTGCAATGTCCCACAAATCCAATACTGGTGATATAACTTATAAATAAGAATATCATGATTTACCAGATCAAACGCACTCGTAAAGTCGGTGTAAACGGCATCAACCTGTTCACCCCTATCCACCGATCCCATAACCCGAGTCATGTAAGAAGTAAGGTTTGTGACCACAGGCTTTCTACTCTGAAAACTATGTTGTTCGCTAACTATCTGTTTTTTTTGTATGATTGACTTGATTGATAGCCTCAAAGACCTTCGAAAGCGTCGAAAGAAGGGATATAGGCCTATAATTTTGTACATTGTCGTGATCACCTTTCTTATGTACGGGTGTCACTCGAGCACTTTTTCAGAGAGTGGGAAATTTTCCAGAGGACAGTGATTTATTAAAAATTTCCTTTAGTTAATATGATAAATATCGTGCACATTCAGTCAGGCCCCGCAGCTTTATTGGGATCAAGATTTTTTAAATGCTTAAGCACAGTTTTTCGTCTATTGTAATTTGATGGAGGTTAGAAGAGTCAGGCAAGTAGTCAAAACCATTAATTGTGTCTGGATCACCTAGTAAGTGATGTTTATCGTACATTGATGAAAAATGACAAGCAAAGAGATCAGCAACACCTGGTCCACCTGAAGCAGATTTATGGTGACTTTTGTCACTATATACAACAGATGGAACAGCACTCGCTCCACCCTTCCTTTTCACAAACGCCCAATAAACTTTGGGGCTTTTTTTATACTGCATTCAACGTTTGCAATGTAGTCTTTATAACAAGCATTGACATAAGCATCACACCGCTTCCTAATCAATTGAAAATCTAATCTGTCGCGGGGGTTATTATATTTACGGATCTTTAATCTTAATTTTTCCTTCTCTTTATGGAGCTGAATCAAGTTTTTTGTGAACCAAGGTGGGTATCGCGCCCCACGAGGTCTGCGCCTCGGAACGTGTTGCCCTATTATAGAATTTATTTGGTCATAAAACACTGCGACCATATCATCAACATAGAAACATTCGCTCAGAATTTGAGACCAATTCAAACAACTCAACGTGTAAACAATCTCATTAAAATCAGCCTTAAAGAAATTAAAGTCATTGCGAGGAACATAGTTTAGTTTTTGACTACTTTTGCTTATATATACAGTAATCTCAAGCTGAGGATGTAAATTATCTAATCTACTAATAATCACGTTAGGTTTATCAACCTTACAAAAGATATTTGTAATTACTAGGTCTAAAATTCTGTTCTGACTATTGCAAATTGAATTCATTTGGTTAAGGTATGATAAGGACATAAAATCAATCAAAGAATAGCCCAGATTATTTTGATAGTTTTCGGCATGCAACACACCATCAGAGTTGACGTCCGTCCAGGATATGAAACCCATGTTGAATTCACCGATCAACATCACGTCATCGTATTCACACATTAAATCTGTAGCATTTCGCAGAAAACGTTGTAGACCAAGCAAGCGGACCGGAAGTGGCAAGTAAACGCAACAAATAGCTATTTTCTTGGGGGATCTGTCGCCTCATCAATTGATATCTTTAGGGTATCAAGTATCGGACCCTATTTATGTTATCAGAAGGTTAAATAAGAAAACACGTTCACTCTGTAACTCCGTATATTAGCGACTAGTTAAAAAGTCTTTGTTCTACAGACGCTAACAAATTGTTTATAAACATCTTACAAACTAAACTGTACATGTACATGTAGGCATATGTGTCCCTACAATATCCATAAGTGCTCACAGTCAGTTTCCCTGTCCTTAAGACGCATACTGGTGATTTTTTTCATAACGGCAATTAATACACCTCCTCCGTCATTCTTCGCACCACATTCAGAGTATTTCCTGTCACGACAATAAACAATATATCTGTCATCTATAAATTCACCATTATTAATGTATTTCATTCAGCCAGGTTTCGGTGAACAGTATCATGTCGTAATTATTACGCAATACATTTAAATAAATATCATTTGTTTTCGTGCGCATCCCTCGTACGTTTTGATAGTAAATTGTGAATTTTATAGCAAATGAATACTGTCACTGCAGGAGTCTCATAAAATCACACCAGTGATTTTAAACATTTAAAACTATGCACTTGTTTTGCAGAAGAAGTTTCGGTTTTTCTTACGTAAATTTTTCCATTGCGAATCCATGTGAATCTATACTTCAACTCTTTCGATTTAATCCTAGTAGCTGCATGGAAAGATTTTTTTTCTGGTGATAGATGTTCACTTAT